TCCCTTACATATGCAAACTACCCATCCCAGGGCAGGTGTAGCACTCACACCCATAATCCCAGCATTAGACCATGGACAATCATAAACTCTAGAAGCCCGCGCCATGACTGCATGAGGATTTGGGGGGACATGCAGACAAAAACTGTAACAACAGTAGTGCAGTAGACTACATTAATGTGCATAAATGTGTTGGATTTCATTTTATAACATCTGGTAAGGTCTGGGCAGTTTCTTCTTATGCATGTGGCAAACCTTAGCATCATTTCATGCTGAGAATGTATAGAAAGGCAATGGATGAAGAAGGCAGGCCTGTTAATGCTAGTCCATGAGGCCAAACCACTAAAACTTGGTGCCTAGCCCAGGAATGGAATTAGGCAGGTATGAGACATAGAAACAGGAGGTGGCAAAACAGACCCTTTCCTTCATCTGCACACCTGTGTTCTGCAGGATATCCTTGGATCAGAGAGGAACTCATCAGAAAGGAGTCTTCTGTCAGAAGAAGCAACATATGCAAGTAAGGACATTGGCCAGGGGAGTCGAGGTTCTAATCCCAGCTTCTCCATTAGCATGACCTCGTGGCTTGACTTTTCAGGTCATAGTTTTTGCATTTGTGGAAACTAGGGGGTTGTCTTAGTCTATCTGCACTGTTCTAACAAAATGTTATAGACGGTGTCTTATACAAAACAGTAACGTATTTCCCATGATTCTAGAGCTTGAGAAGTCCAATGTTAAGGCACTAGCAGACTTGGTTGATGGTTAGGGCCAGTTTCCTTGTTTATGGATGATAATTCCTTGTGTCCGCACATGGTAGAAAAGCATTTCACTTGGGCTGTGTTATGAGGACAGCACTCTACTCATGAAGTCAGACCCCTCCCAGCAGGTTTCAGAAACTTACACCACCACAATGTGATTATATTAGAGCACATGAAAAAAATTCAGAACACAGCAGGAGCTGACTGAGATGATAGTTAAGGAGACTTCTAGTTCTGCAATTCTGCTGTTCTGGCTAAAGAGGTAAACAGACAATGAGAGTGATAGAATTGCTTCCAAGTGTGGCTACAACAATGTCTTCCATCCCAGTGTTCCTAGCCATTCCTCACATGAGGAGATAGAGTCTCTTTCCTTGTCTCCTGAACTGTCTGGGAAACTTGTTTGGGCCCATAAAACATGTGACAGAAGTGAAGCTGTGTGACTTCTACAAGTAGGCCTTGAGAAGCCATGCAACTTCCATTTTTAATGCCTTGGTAGCCAACAGCCATGGAAAGAAATCCAGAATAATCCAGTGGAGAGACTGCATGGTGAGAGGCCCTGAATCATGAGAAGTTGGGAGGAAAACAGGAGTCTGGGGAGCCAACAGCTGCACCAACTGTGAGATGTGTAGGCCAGGTGCCTTGTGCTAATCACCTCCCAATATAATCGCCGTGCGATGGTGAGGCGATCTTCGGCCCCCAAGCTAAGCTCCCAGCTGTGAGAAATCACAGGAATGACTTTAAACAATATCACACAGAGCAGAACACAGTGCATGGAATCATAGAAAACCAAAAATTATTGTTTTAATCCACTAAGTTTGGGGGTACTTTTTACACAGAGAAAGGTAACTGACAGTAAATAAACCAAGGCTACTTAAGAAGCACTTTCTGCTTTTTATGTCCCAGGAACCTAGCATAGGTTCATGAAAACTGCTAAATACATAGCTGTGCACCTCTTCTCCAGCTTCTGCAACTTGCAAGGAAGTGAAACAGAAGAGTGGCCTCCAGCCCCTGGGCAGCAGTCTGCCCCAGCTGGGCAGAGGGCTCTCCACTTTCAAAGTATGTGATTCCTGGGAAGGTAGAGGGAGAACATACTACTGCATAATTCTGTGGCCTCAGCCATGGCAGTTAATCCTCAAAACTGAGTTTTCTTAATTGCAAAGCGAGGAAAAGCGTAGTGTCTACTTCACACAGTGCTCTTAGAAGCAAATTGAAACAATAATTTACAAAACCTTTAATCTCATGCATGGCTCACTGGAAATACCAAATGAGTAGAAGAGGAGAGTTTGAGTAGGGTGGGATAAGAAGAGAGAGGGACAGACACAGAATATTAAAGACTCCCAGTCACTGCTTGCCATAGAACATGAAGATTGTCGGTAAGTGTTTAGGTTGAATCAATGCAATAGAAACAGTAAAATTCAGGGACAGGGAAGTAGGAAGCATGTGGGTGACTGGGACTCATCATTTGTATCCTCCAATTGCAAAGGTTAGGGGACACTGTACAGGGTATGGGGAGAGCAGAAATAATCCTTCTACTACTGAATAAACGCATGATTGAATGAGTATTAACTTATAAGGACTCAGCAAGTATTACTGATGTATCAGTACACATGTTAAGTCATTTAAAGTCTATGAGGTAGTGTTATTTTTCTCCACCATTTAACAGTTAAGGCATGAACAGCTTCCATAATATGACTAAGGTTGCATAACTAGTAAGAGATAAAAGAGATAGTGCTGTCTCCAGAGCCTGCTCTCTTCTTAGTCACTAAATTACACATACACATAGGAAAAGGCTGTGCTCTTAATCCAGGGGAGCTCACAATATTGTTGAGGAACAAGAATACAGACTCATAATGCAGCCAGGGGACTAAAGCAACTGAGGAAAGCCAGGGTGAAGAGGAGTGGGCTCTTCAGCAGCAGAACCTCCCAACCCCAGGTTGGGAGCGGCTTAGTGGAACAACAGTTCTCTGGCTAAACACAGCTTTGTCAGGAGGAGGCACTCACACAGTGGAGCAAGAAGATGGTATCACAGGTGAGTGGGCAGTTGGACACCTGCCAGCTTCCCTTCCCGCCCCTGTGGACCATGTATCCAAAGGTCTTGGGCAGTGACTGAGCTGAATTGATATTCCCAGCAAGGGGCAAGACATTTTCTATCTCTAAACTGCAAATAGTGGTATAAAGACTAAAACTGCCAACTGTACCTATTTAAAACTTTTTGACATTTTTGAAACAATTTTAGACTTGTAGAAAAGTTACAAAGACAGTACAAAAATTCCCATATACCCTTCACTCTGATGTCAATTTTTTAAATGTTTACTTTATCACTTTCCCACCTGTGTACAATAGAGTTTCTCAACTTAGCACTACTGACACTTGAGACCAGGTAATTCTAATAACTGTAGTTTGTTTAGCAGTATCAGTGGCCTCAAAAGTCTTTTCCACCACACCTTCCCAACCCCTGAGTTGTGAAAACCCAAAATGTCTCAAAACACTGCCAAACCTCCCGTAGTGGGCAAAATGTCTCCTAACTGAGACTGAACTACCTACCTACTGATCTATCAACCAATCGGTCTATTTATCTATCTATCTATCTATCTGTCACATATTTTTCTACTGATCAATTCTGAAAG